ATGTCTTTATTCGCATCGACCATAACTAACTTTGATGCTGTAACTGTTCCAGCTGTGATACCAGACAATAAACTGAGATCTACTGCTGATCCACCAATTGTTAACGATCCACAGTCGAGAGCTCCTGCCACCGATAGTGAACTAAAGATTCCAGTTCCACTAAGCTGTTGGTATCTTTTATCGGCCGTGGCGATTGTCAAGTAATCATTAGATCCAAGGAAGAAAGAACTCTTGAATATAAGGCTGTTTATACTCGGTGGTAAAGACATTTTTGGTTGCTTGTATATACAATCACAGAAAGATGATTAACTTCTACGAATCGATAGATAAGAAGAATATCAAGAAAATATGCAAGGAATGGGCAATTTCAGTACTCGGATCTCAAGTTCTTTCCACCCAACGCTACGGATCTCTGTCAACCAGCGGACTCCTTTGTAATTTCCAAGATTAAGGACGCTTGGAAAGCCAAATGGAACGAGAAAAAGTTGGAGTTTATCAGGGATAACCGCTGGCAAAACAAGATCCGAAAGGATGGTTCATGGTCCGGAAAGCTTCAAAACCCAGGTAAAAGGTTCTTTCTGCAACTTGCTGCTGATGCTGTCAAAGCCGTAAACCTTCAAAACGACAAGAAGGGTATGTCTTACGCGCGGAAGGCAATGATACGGTGCGGTTTGTCGCTCGGAATTGACGGGACATCGTCTATTGATCAGCTTTACCTTCGTCTTCGAGAAATTATAAACAAACACCGCGCGCACTTTGATGGTGAGGTCGTAGTCAACAATTCTAAAACATAAATCATAACATGTAGTACAAGTATTACAATTCGTGAATTTGGCTCAGTCGTTTGTGTCTTGTATCTTCAACGCGAATATGGACGGTTCGAGGACAGGCGATCAGGAGGAAGTTGCTTGCCCCAGCTTCCTGAAAGATGACCAAACGTACATGGGAGTGTCGACGTACACGACCAACTCCGTCTCCAAAGGTAAGCCTTATCGTGTATAATATTGTTATTGTGAAAACTTATCGTGTCTTATACATGCTGCATGTACTCTCTTCAGCTAACAGTTCGATTCAAGAAATACTACAAAAGCCTCTTCCTAGGCTTCGTCGATCTTGCGATAGTGAACGCGTTTATAGTCTTCAACCGCGCCCGAAACGCTGCAAACAATACCAAGATGACGCACATTGGCTTCATGAACCAGCTGCACCTTGAACTGAGCCAAATTACCGCTTTTGATTGGGTGGAGCTCCAGGGGACGCGTGTGCAGAACGCAACTCCGACTAGACACCGTGGAGGAGGCAGCTCAGAGCACATGCCCGTACAGACAGATGAAACGAGGAAGGGCAACACCGATGGAAGTCGAAAACGTCCTCTGAGAGCATGCAAAGTGTGTTCACTGCTCATGGAGAAGGTCACCGGTGACGATACGTCTTTCCAGTGTAGTTCATGTGTACTCACAACTACACTGTCTACGGTAATTAGTCTTACCGAGCCTATTTTGTGTTTATGGTTTTCAAGTCTGTTAACTGTATATAGTCTGACTCAGACTATTTATTGACTAAGACTACTTATGAATTAAAACATAGTCTGACACACAAAAGTGAAAATGTTTTTGGGGGTGTATAGCTTTGAGCTCAGAGGAGCACTCGTTCGCTTCAAGATGACCCGAACAATTGTCGAGATAAATAGTCTTCTTCTGCCCACGAGGGTCTGCACGCATAGCTCGTCTTTCCTTGAGATACTCTCAAAATAGTTTCTGTGTCATCCACCCCTTCCTACTAGCGCGATAGCACACACCTGGCGTTTGATCAGGAACACCATGGATAAGATAGTTTCCCTTAGAAATCGTAAAAATTGTCATGAACCCGGGCGCTAGGTCCTCCTGACAGTCTGACGACCATCGTCATGCCTTCGCCTCCTGAAACAACGTTCGCCCGTCGGACAACTCGGTCCAGCTCAGTAGTCCCGCCAACATACAGCATGTATACAGGTCGATTGTCTCACCACTTCACCAATGTCATGTTTGTAACAAGCTTCGGCTGTTCGAACGTAAAGTCCCGCGCTCAATACTGTCCGGGCGAGTTTTTTTCTTTCTTGATAGGACGTACTTGAGCACTTAGACCCAGCCGAAAAGCCAGTACTGTTCCAATGCCATAAAAGCCCATCTTGAGAAACTCCAAGGCGAGGGGAGGGACGTATAAATCGATCCATGGCCACCAAGCGCTTCTGGTCTGCTGGCACATCACCGAACAGAGCACGTAAGTTTCTCACAACTGCCACGGGTCCCGTCCTTTCATCCCTAGCAACAACGCTTCCCACCTTTTCAGCTTTGCCCAGATACACTTCGAACCTGTATTAGACACGATAATAAATCACATTTTTGTATTAGACACGATAAAAAAAACTTAGCATTTCAACAAAAAAAAAAGCGTGCCATGTGAGGCACGCTCAACTTACCGGATACAGTAAGCTGTGTAGGAACAACACAGCATGAAGAGCTTGGTGCCATACTTGTGTGGTTTGTCTTTGATGTATACCCGCATTCGATTGAACGATGACCTCGATGGAAGCATGGCTTTATCAAAAGCCAAGATCGGTGGGGGATGTAGCCTTCATGAAACCGAGTTTGTAGCTCGTCGATGATCGGTCTAAGCTTCCAAGCACGATCGCCAGCAGCACGTCTATCATGATCGCTACTGAAGTGTAGATTGCGAGCAACATGTGCGAAACGATCGCGGGACATGTATTTCCCAAAGCATCCATCCACGTGGGATTCCTCCTTCGTCAGTAGTTTTCCAGTGGTGTTGAATCTTCTCCTTGCTAGAGGATGTGGTCCGAGCTACTAGCAGCTCAATAAACACGCAAATATCTATAGCAGTAATTGGGGGTAGCTTCAGCAATTTTGAGCGTATCTCCGCTTTATTTTGACGTCGAATCATGGGCTTCTTCTTTTCACGGGCGAGCTACCATTCGTACTGCACGTCAACGCGCTCGTCTAGTTTCTCGTGAAAATACTCTTCACTGGCCAGGGCAATATCCTCCTAAAAACCGCGGGATCATGAAGAAGAATAAACTGGTCATCGGAGTGGATGCGGCAGCGACTACCTCCGCGTTTGGTCCGTAGTCTCCATCGTACAGACCAGGATAATCGTTATACATCGAATTGGCCGGTCGGGGTTCATACGGCTCATCCATGTAGGGATAGGGGTCTTGAGATTAAGCATCAGACCACCCGCTGTTTGATATTTCACGAAGAATATGGGCTTTATTCCTCTGACCCAAAACGTCCGCTAAAATCCCCTCAATACCACCAACAGCAGCCAGCAGTTCATCCCCGAACATCACGTCATGAGGGGCGATATCGTCGTCATCGTATGAATCCAGTGCCTCAAAGTTCAACTTGTCATCGTTGTTATCGAAGCCATCATCGGTTTCCCCGTCTGAGTTAAAGGCCATGTAGTCGTCCAAGCTGTCGTGAGCTCTGGTAACGTTGATGTCGGTGTCTTTAGAGCAGTAATACATGTTAGTATATATATCATGTATCCATATCGTGTATAATACATGATATTGTACCTGAAGAAATGTCGGAGCGATTGGTGTCATTTTGGTCATAAGCAGCTTCCGTCTCGCTGCTCGAGTTACTGTCGTGTATATGTGGTGTGTAGGGCAGAGTCTACCCGTATACCCAGTACTACTGTCAGAGGCCACTTCAGCAAATTCTGCGTTCAAGTTGCGCTGGTGCTGGGAACATCTGCATCAGCTACTTCATCATCACAAGTCGTGTAAGGAATACTTCAGCCATAATGCATCCGATAAGGGACTTACCCTGTTGCTGCAGCTGCACCGTCTCGGAATCATTATTCTGGGTGTCTGTCGTTCCTCCATTCGGTGTGAGTAGTTTCTCAGTCGTTGCTCCTGTATAATAGATGTTACAGACCCAGTAAGAAGTGAACAATACAGGATAGATTTCACATCTTCAACGTACCACCAGATATCCTCAGCACCACCCCTGAATGCTGCTCTGCTCTGATAAGGTTGTCAGCCTGGTCGTTAGCAGGCATACTTGAGGTTTCCCCACCTCCTGTTATATTGTACATGATAGGAATAGTTTCTTAGAAGGTATTATACATGATTAGCGAGCGAAACACGTACCAGCTCCTCCGCCGGTAGAAGACGATGCTGGTAGGAGAGTGTGGACCGTTGCCTTCTTCTGCTTCTGCTTCAATTCTTCTGTAATCACAAGCAAGTTAGAATAAGACAATAAGCATATGCGTCCAATTACCGAGAGCTAGCCTGTCCAGATACTTCAGCAGTTCCTCTCCGCGTACAAAATAATCAACGCCCCGTACAGCTGCCTTCATCTTGCCGGGTCGAAAAAGGCATAGCCGGTCTCCAACCCCCTAGGCCTGCTGGATTTCCACCCCTCTTTTAGTAGCTGGGACCACACAGCTCTAAATGCTGCCGCCATCTTCCCCTCCGTGTCAAATTCTAGAATGCCAGCAAACGAGTGGTTTCCGAGAGTGACCTCTAATCCCTTATGGCGGGAACTGGCGCTCTTTCAAATACTCTGTCAATTGAATTTAGAAAATTAAAAGTGCACGCTTCTATGAACAGACGCTTGCATGTTTTTGTACGTTAGTTCGTGTCTGCTTTAGCAACACCTCCCCCTAGTTGACAGAAGGTTTGTATACTTCAATACTAAATATATTTCTATTTCCTTATCATGTCTAATGCATGATAAACTTTTTATGCAATCGTGTCTAATACGCTCTCGGGGGGTTAATTTGGGAAATATTCTACATAAATACAAGGCGGCATGAAACAGCGATACTAACATGGAAACAAAACCAGCAAATATATTCCCTTTTGGTGGAGTGGTGTCTGAACAGTACTACGAACTGAGGAAACACTTCAGACTGCACACTGCAAGATCATAAAGTAGTTAATATAAAAACCACAAAACGTATCGTAATAATGTTAATGCACGAGACTATCACTAAATATTCGTTAATAAAAAGTATAATACAATGAATGATAGAAATTTAAACGTGTTGGCGTTGTTATAAGCAGGAGGCCATAAAAACACCTTTATACCTATGGATTACACTAATCTAATATTAGACTTTATATATAGTGTATTCAAGTGATAAGTAACTGTAGGCTTAAATTAAATAAATGGGTCAAAGCAAATATTTAAGGGTAATCTATAAACAACTGGTGGTTTGAAAAGAGTATAATCCCGCCGAAGCGAAGCCGAGGCGGAAAAGACCTTAGCCATTGCGACCTAACATAAATTACCGCCGCGAAGCGGCGGCGATCGGCTAGTATTGTAATGAAATGATAAGTAATTTGTAGGGTTGAATGCAAGTAGCCGATAAATGGGTTAAGGGAATATTTAAGGATAATCAATAAACAAATGGTGGTGTAAAAAGGGTTATAACCCTGCCAAAGCGAAGCGAAGGCAGGAAAGGCCGGAGCATCTGCGGCCAAAAATAAATTACGGCCGCGTAGCGGCGGCGGTCGGCTAGTTTAAAGTATAGGGACTCGGAACCTGAGCACCAACAGAAGATGTTAATGTAACCACAGCCCTTCAAGTTATTAAAATTTGGTTCCGAAAATGTTGGAACCCGAGCTCTCCCAATTCATCAAATAATTGCAATTGGCTACAGAATTGAAGCACAACAGCAGCTCTAGTAAGTACGACATCATTTTGGAACCGGTTCGGAAGGCGGTTTTGGAACCTCGGAACTCAACATCCAAAATTATTATTCGACTTATCGAGCTAGTTCCGCCTCTGCTTTTTCTTTCGTCCATTCCGGTTTTGCCGTTTCAAGTATTCTTGGTCAAGCTGACGGAGTCGATCGAGTGCTGCAACTGCTGTGGGTCTTTTGGACGGATCGTTATGCATCAGCAGCTCCAAGAACTGTGTCCTTTCTCTTCCTGTGTCATACCAGCTCCCGTACACAACATCTCCGCAAGTTTGGATCAGCCTCCCAACAGACCATACGTCCACAGTAGTGGTGTGATTACCATCGCTGAAGATCTCGGGGGCGTGTTCGGCTTGACTCAGGTGGTTGCCGCTTGGGGAAGCCTGTGGACTTCGCGAGGCGTTCATGAAATCTATCAGGAACAACGAATTATCGGCATCGCGACTCTTGATACTGTAACATTCGGTCATCGAATATCTCGATTGCTCCACGAAGCAGCATGCAATTTCACCAATGCTTGCAACACATTTGCGAGCGCGTGAAACAATTCCACAATAATTGCTGGTCTTTTTTCTTGGCCACGTGGCTTGAATATCAATCACATTGCATTCTGGTCTGCATGATCCAGACGATCAACGTTCGGGATGGCGTGCTCTTCCAACACCTTGTAGACCGCTTCAATATGGTCCTTTGCTCGTTGAAATAGCGCTTCTGGAAAACAAACACTTGACAACACATGATGGTTCGAGTAACACTCTGACTCCAAAATCACGGGACAGCTTCTTGTACTCATCTCGAGCGCTTTATGGACACACACTCGCAAGGCTCCGCAACAATCGTGCGACGTTCAGAATTGCCAGCAGCAAACGAAATCGTCCTTCCAAATGTTTGAGATCAAATACTCCCAACTCCATTGCGTCCACGTCATCGTGCACACGAGTGATAACATACAATCTGGCTTCATAGCCAACGGCTGCGTATCCGAACAAATATGGTGCGTCACCGTAGCTCCAAACAAGCTTCTCAACTAACTCGCGTCGTGGTGTCTCCAACTGCTCTCCAGGGGCCTTTTCCTCACCGCAAAACACGCACACCGAGTCCACAATGAAAAGGTAATCTGGCCGATTTGATCCTGTTGATGCTGATCGACTTGAATTCCGGACGCTCTTACCGATGTCGTGTAGCACGAAGTTCAAAACATTGCGAATCAAGTCGTCCCAAAACGAGATGAACGACTTCTTAGTGTCACCAGGATCCGTAGCATACACAATACGGCTTCCAATCCGGAACAGGAAGTTCACACACTGCTTCAAGTTGTCAATTTTGAATAACTTCGCCATCAGCTCGGGAGATTGGGAGGTCATCTTGGTGATCCAGGTGTCGTAAATCTCTTGATGCAACGTGATTTTTCCCGGTAGTTCGTTATCAATAAAATCTGCAAGCTCACCCAAACGAGGAAGCTGATGTGGTGCGAGCTGATTCTTGCGGAACTCGTTCACCCACTTGGCTGTCCAGCCTCGGTCAACCATCGTCACCGCAGCTTGATCAGGAGGAAGTGCCACCAGCACCTGAATCTCTTCATCTCCGGGCGTGAAACTCGATCCAAGCAACTCCTTCTTTTTGAGCCTCGAAGACGAACGCATCTCTTCATACTCGGTGCTGGTACCACTTCGCAAGAAGTCTATCACCGTGTGGTCGTGCTTCATCCACGTGGTTTCCCCCTTCTTCCTCGCCAAGTACAGAGTCAATAACCGCGGAGGAACAGTGTGCTGCTCGGTGCTCAAGATACCAGCGATCTTCGCCTGCAAAGCGCTCACTTTTGCATCGAGCGTGATTTCAACGGAGAAGACGCTCCCTTCGCCGTACACACCGCAGCGCAGCTTCATGTTCGCTTCCGCCATGTTCTTCTCTTAAGTTCTCGACTAAGAAGTAGCACACATCACGCGACACATAGTGCTAATCAGATCGCTCTGAAATAATTGTTTTTATTTCTGACAAATATATTCCTCAATATATAGAAACTAAATAATAATGTGTTCATCTTGAGCGATAAAAAATACATATATAGAAATAATAACAATGTGTAAGTACATCTTCCCAGAAAACTACCCAAAGGCGAGCCAGCAGTGCGGCTCAAAAGGCGATTGGTAGTATCAACCAGCAGTTGCTGAACCAGTGATTGCTCAACCTGCAGTTGATGAACCATCGATGACCACGTCTATTGAAGAAATTTATGGTGAGCATTGCA